CCCCGGCCTGCAGCGCCAGCCGCGGAGGAGCCCGCGTTCCTCTGGCCGGCGGAGCGCCAGCTGCGGACTCACGTCGCGTTTCCATAGCGTCAAGCCACCAGTGTTCCCGAGGCCGAGCCTGAAAACGCGAAGCATGCTGCTTATTGGTAGGATGGACTTTCATTTCACAGGCAGTTGACACTTTGCACAGTACTCGGTAACAGGCAGAGGGCAGACTCGCATTAAACATGGTCCAGGATATTGTCAGGATCGTCACTTGAAGTGCTCGATAAGAAACTCGAAATAAAACCAGATTTCACGCTGGAGTTCCTTTAACAATTTCTGTCTATACAACAGTAATAGACTACATTTATATTGCAACCTCGGTACAAAGAGCTCTAAATGTCGATGATGATGGTGATGGATAGGGTAATTTTCCATTTTACAGGTATGTAAGAGATTCAGTAGCTATGCTTAAAGCACACCTCAAGTCTGTGGTAGCAAGAAGGGGTATGGGGAAAAAAAGACCAATAGAGCCATCCTAAATATAAATATGGAAAAGGATATATCCACCCTGTGATGCACTAGGCTGGTTTACTGAAGTTGCTGTATGTGACATCTTACATGAGGCCAGAAGGGTTAACCTGCTGCCTTAGCATGTGTCACCACTGAGTCCAGCTGACGAGATGCTCAGTCAGTGGGGTGGATGATTTCCATTCTTTGTTATCACCTCGGGTGAAAAGAACCTTGCACATTGTCTGAGATACAGTTTCCAGCATTGCTGGTAAAATTAAACCTCCCACCAACAAAGACTTAGGTGTGCATAGATGGAAAGACTGGATCTGTGGTGTAAATGGTAAAGGTCTACTGGTGAGACAAAAGCATTGTATTTTCAGTCGGTGTAGTCCAGGTTCTCTTCCTGGCTCTGTCACAGGTTATCGTGCAGCAGTAGAGAAGTCATCGTGCCATAGGAATGGTGATCCATCACATTCCTGAAGAGTTTCAACATCTACCCCGCTGGGATTGCCAGAGATCGTGAGTTTTATGAAAACAATTTTCAAAACTTCAGCAGTGTAGGAAAGCAGAGAACAGTAGGCAGGAGCTGGAGTACCAGCTGTGGCACACGGCTGTCGTCCCAGTACGAGAGAGCAGAAAGGAAACTAACTTGGAAAATACATTTGGTGTCACGATGCTTTCGTACCTACTTCTACTTTCCGAGTCATCAGTACAAATACACATGCACCCCCTCTCCCCCAAAACATACACCTTTAATTTACAGGCCTGTCAGTGATGAAGGATGAGGATGTGAGATGAGCACGTACGGCAGAGTTTTAACACAACGCACTTTACTAGAGAGCAAGAGCTGCCTTCCTTAACAAGCTAGATGGTATGTTTAATTTGGAAGATAGAGGCAAATCCTTCACGCAAGGATTTTCACTAGTTCCCCTTTAGAGCCTGGCATCAACCTGTGTTGTCTCTGTTGAAAAACGGGCTCGTAAGACCTTACATAAAGCTGTGTGGATGAATGTAAAAAGCACTGCTGCCTTTGTGAGCAGAAAGAATTCAAGTGTCAGGTTTGTTTCATGGAGAGGGGCTTGACCTACAATGCACGTGCCAAAGTGTTACCTCCCTCCGTGTCAGGACATTTTGGATCCAGAAGTTCACATGGGCAAAACCGAAAAGCGCTGGTTGTGCTGTACTGTAACGCATGTACATGGTTCTCAGCTGAAGCTTAGGGGTGCTTGTATCCCACCTGACAATCAGACTGCTCTCCAACACAGCCAGGTGTGCCAGCTGGTGTCACCAAGCTGAGTTAATGGGGAGCCGTTATTGAGCGGGGAGGGGGCGCCGGGGGTGCGGCTCCTCCCGCTCCCCTGTAGCAGCAGTAGTGGATCTCTCGCCCCGCTGTACGCCAGTTCAGAGACCATCTGGTCAAACACGTCCAAGGATGAAATCCCTGCCAGCTGCCCGTTCCCTGCCCGCGCAGCTCCGTGACCCGGCTCACTGCAGAGCCTGTTGTGCCCCACCAGTGCGAAAGCCCCGACAGTCACCACAACTGCCGGGCATGCAGCGGAAGGCATGCAGCGGGAGCGCACGAGGGAGGGACCGCCCCGTTCGCAGGAGCTGAATACAGATGGGCCTGTGCCATCCAAACGCAGCATTCTTAAGCTGCCGTTTGCAGGATGTACGTAGTGGGTCCACGAGAACGGAAATGTGGCAAGAAACGCAAGGCCTGGATTTTAGGATTGAGCACAAGTACTTAGGCTGAAGTATCTTCATGTTCTACATGAGATTCTCAGGTCAGTGCAGGGCAGTTTTCAAGAGGGAGCCACCCAAGGCAGCATTGCAGTGCTGGTGCCTATACTGCAACTCCAATCTGGTCTAATGACTGAGAGGAGGCTGTGAATTTTAATTTCAGAGCCTAAAGCTAAAACCTTAGTCAGACCAGCTTTTGTCTAGTCCTATAAGCTCTCTCCAGCAGCTGAATTAATGCCTGTTATCAGTAAAAACCACAGAATCCACAAACCATCTGCCAGAGATTATAAGAACTTTCAAAAATAAACCTCCTGTGGAAAGAGCTAAGCTTGAATCGGTTTTTGTGATTTCATCCTCGCTCATCAGGAAAATAACACAAGTTTTATCACTCAAAAGTGAAACACACAGGGGCTGAGTAACTCAAATTTTAAGCAGGTTCTATCCAGAACTGGCTATACTGGTGAGTGCAAGAGCATGAAGAAAGGGAATAAAAGAGACATGGGGAAGCTCCCAGTGCCACTGCTCGTGTCTGAGGTGGGGGTGTGAAGAGGAAGGTCTCGCAGCACCTCTGGGCAGCGCCCAAGTTAAAAACTAAAACACTGTTCTAAAATCTAAAGGCTCTGCTGCTCTCTGTACCTGAAGGATGTACAGTCCTAACTGACTTCTCCAATTCCCACTGATGAGGGAGGGTATTTGTGGTGGGTCTTCCATCGAGAAGTGGGGAAATATCAAGGTCTCATTCTTGAGCAAGACAGCACATTTTGTAAGTGTGGCTCTGACTGTACCAGGGATTATAACAAAGACACGGCAGTCACCGCAGGTGGAATTGTTTGCTCGCTGCTCTACTGTTTGGCAGAGGGTTTCTTCTCCAGACCCAGCCATATCGATGACTTCTACATGCGTGTCTCCCTTCTTGATATTAAGCAGGGACCTAGGAGGCATGTAGGTGTGAGCAAAGAGCAGAGTGTAGTGCCTTGGGTGGGCTGAGGACTCCGGAGAATGCGTGAGTTGCTCCAAGTGAAACAAGCACGGTATCAGTCCTCCCTGGTGGAGGCACCCAAAGAGCAAAGCCCCGAGAACATTGAAGACGACGATGACGTGTTTCCATTTCGCAGCTCTGTTCTGTGACGCGCTGAACAAGACTAACGGCAAGATGAGAGGAATGAGAAACCGAGGTTCTTGGTGACTGAAGAGGGAGAGAAATGCCAAAGGAACAAAGTAAAACAGCAGTAACGTTGGGTTGCCCCCGGAATGCGCTAAGAGCCTGGATGACCCACGGCGACAGGATCCGGCCCGCATTAACTGACGGATGTATTGCTTTATCATGTTATAACCAGCACCGACGGCCAGCAAGTGTAAGATCCCAAAGAGCATTATTCCATTGACTGTGAGGTGTGTAACTCGCGGGTGACTTCCATGCAGTGCAAGGTTATGAGGATTGAGATTATAGCTGAGAAAATTGAAAGGGGTTACTATCATTTTCTCATTTAACTGACCTATTACATCAAACAGACTGCTGTTTGTAACGCTGTAGAGGTTGTCTAAGCCCAGGGAGGTAAAATAGAAGGTGTCGGCTGTTATGAAAACAACAGCAGTAAAACATGCACATAGGACAAGCTTCAGAAAGTGGTTTATGACAGTTTTAATGCTCCTCTGAGAGTCAACGATTAAACCTGCCCAGTAGAGCAGGGGCATCAGAGCAAACGCCAGAAAGGTCGGCCTGTTGAAAAAGCCAGCAGTCGTTACAATACCTATGAGAGGGCTGCTCGTAGGCTCTGCGAAGCTGCCGTCGGACTTCCTGGAGGAAACCAGCACCATCAGGAGAGCAAAGAGAAGTCCTTCAAGCGTGTTGGTAAACGTTCTCGTATAAAACACCAGAGTGACATAGGATCCAGCAAGGAGTACCAGCGCTTTCCACGGATCTGCTTCCCAGAAAGGAGCTAATCGATAGACGCTATAGTCGAGCGTGAAAGAAAAGATTGTAAAGAGAAGGCGAGGAGATACAAGAAGGGTGTAGCTGCTGATGACACGTGGACATACGTCCAGCTGCTGTAAAGACTTGATCACCCAGTAGGAAACTCCAGATGTCATTAGTGGGAAAACAACTGTTCTGCAAGGAGAGCTGGAAAGGAACTCCCAAGGATAATAGACCTGTAGGTTTAAAATGTCTCCTATAAGGGAAGAAGAAAAGAAAAACCCCATACATACACGGCATAGTTTATTCAGGAATCCAGCACTGCGGGTACAACTTGGTATAAGAGGGATCACAAATAGTTCCTAAACTTTACAGACTGGTGTCAGCCTTGGCACTTTTTGGGGTATCCCAGTAATCCTTACAGAGCTGCAGGAGAAGAAAGGAGGTCTTTTGTGGTGCCAGGGCTCAGAGGGACAGCAGGCGGCCACCCGCCGCGGCCCGCGCTCCGTGACGAGGACGGC